AGGGCGAGCATGTTTGGTGGGACGGGGATTCGAACCCGCGACCCTCAGATTGCGAGTCGAGCGCCCTAACCACCTGGCCATGCCGGGCCGTTTTCAGGGGACCAACTATTTAAGGCATACACACTCACTGACAGATAGCCTAAAGTTTCCTTGAACATGACTGCAGTGACACAAATAGCCATATATTATTTGGGAAATAATTTTGCATAGTTTTATAGTCAAGAAAAAATTAAATTATGCGTGACAAACTAGAAATGAACTTGTGCCAATGTATGACGGGCTATAAGTACGAACCATTTTAAACAGCAGATAATATTTAAGCGTATATTTATAAATCAATGATTTCTCCAAAGTGTAGGGAACCAGCCGTCGCCTAATGTGTCGGGCTGCGTATCGAAAGGTTCGGGGTTTGAGACACGATCCCAATGAACACGATGCGCACTTGCAACTGTCGGGGCGTTATAAAAGTGACAGTGAATCCCGTTATTCGGTCCAAAGTGCCGAACAAAATCCTTTTGATAACAAGTGCTGCTGGCTAGTTGTTTTCCGTCACGTCAGTAGGAATATCTGACCTGGCAGTTCAGCCCAAGTGCACATTGGGTACCTTACAAGTTGAAAACGTCAATTGCATGATTCGAAAGGTGTGGAATTAGAGTATCAGATGCATGTTATATTGAATGATGAGAATATCAAAAAAAGATGCAAGCTTTGACTTTAAGAAATTAAATGCATATCTAAAATTTACTTAGTCTTAGCCAAATTGGTTTGGAGTAGCCGTAGATAATATATGAAATTGGTCAAAAGGCTTTAATCAAAATATATTTATTTAAAACTTTTCCATTGGGATTTCTATGTAATGAACATAAAACACTGTGTCATTTTTACTTCTATAAATATTACAATTATAACTCATATCTTTGAGCTACAGTCAGAAGTCTTAAAATAAAAGTCAAATATTTGTTTCGAGACTTTGAAAATATGAGCAATATCCTTTTTTTTTGCAGCGATACCAATTTATCAGTCAGTTACTACCTTACACACAAATATTTGGTCTACCAATTAAACAACTTTGTAATCGAAAAACTATAGAATAGAGCCAAAGGTCACCAATAAATAACTACGTGACCTAATTTGAATATTGTACTTCAGCCATTTCAAGGGTCAACATTAAATTAACTTTTTGACCAGCGTGACTACTGCAAACATGTCAAGGATCACTATTAAATCATTGTGACCTATTACGTGTGACCACTATCAACCATAATGTGACCGTCTGTTTCTACTGTCAGTCAAATTAAACATCCCCATTTAATGATTTTGACCTAATGTAAACAGCATTAAACACTTAAATTCCTTCATACTCAGACAATTATCAGTAATGCAATTAAACAGCTGGTAATATCGACAGTCTGGGAGTGGCCATGGACTCTTTTTTTTTCACGTGTTTTAATATTACCGGTTACGAGATCAAACATCTGGTAATTCGACAGTCTAGGATTGGCCATGGATTCTTTTTTTAATGTATTTAAATATTAGCGGTTATATGATCAAGCAGCTGGTTACCTTCTGGATTCTTCTGTTTTTAGAACGTTCATTTCTGTTCATTCCAAACAAACACTCGAAGTTGACTTTAATACGGAATATTTCTCATGTAATAAATCTAGTATTACATACAACCAGGGAGTCCTCAGTCTAGATATAAACAACAACTAAGATCTAGTATTACATACAACCAGGGAGTCCTCAGTCTAGATATAAACAATAACTAAGATCTAGTATTACATACAACCAGGGAGTCCTCAGTCTAGATATGAACAACAACTAAGATCTAGTATTAAATACAACCAGGGAGTCCTCAGTCTAGATATGAACAACAACTAAGATCTAGTATTACATACAACCAGGGAGTCCTCAATCTAGATATGAACAACAAATAAGATCTAGTATTACATACAACCAGGGAGTCCTCAGTCTAGATATGAACAACTAAGATCTAGTATTACATACAACCAGGGAGTCCTCAGTCTAGATATGAACAATAACTAAGATCTAGTATTACATACAACCAGGGAGTCCTCAGTCTAGATATGAACAATAACTAAGATCTGGTATTACATACAACCAGGGAGTCCTCAGTCTAGATATGAACAACAATTAAGATCTAGTATTACATACAACCAGGGAGTCCTCAGTCTAGATATGAACAACAACTAAGATCTAGTATTACATACAACCAGGGAGTCCTCAGTCTAGATATGAACAACAACTAAGATCTGGTATTACATACAATCAGGGAGTCCTCAGTCTAGATATGAACAACAACTAAGATTTAAAGTTTGCATTTTTTTTGTTTAGTTCGCCATTGAGGTTCATCAGTCACTTCGTGTGTCATATTACTGAAATGTGTAATTATTTTAAAAAGTTTGAAAAATATATTACAAACAACTCGTAGTCCTTCCTCAAAGCAGATGAGGTGAGGCTTAGTGAACATTGTAACGTATAATGAGTGCTGTCTTGTCGGATTAATAACTTTTTCTCTAAGTATGTACACCATGTAGTTGATTAAGTCTTGCGGTGTATAAATACATCCTACAATTACGCATATCAATGTTTTTTTTTCTGTATAAGTGTATTTAAACAAGTGCTATATATGTATTTTCAAAATGCGATTTTCTGGAAAAGTTATGTTTTTGTGAACAAGAACCTAATCCGCACTGAGTTGACCATGTAAAGCGTAAAAAATATATGAACCTAATCCGCACCGAGTTGACCATGTAAAGTGTAAAAAAGAAACTGTAAGTTTCCCATTTTTTACTAATCCAATGTATTTATTACAAAAGAGAGTTACAGTTTTTAACCCTTTTTTTGTGTACACATATTGTTGTCACGTGTCCTTGAGATGTGATATGTGACCACACCAGTTACGGAATAAAAGCTGAACTAATATATGTGTTATTTACTAAACAAAAAACTTGTTTTGATACTACCTCTATAATTATATTAAAAACACCATAATTTGTGCTTCAACAGTGACTCGACATTAATGCGTTGTATAATCATGTTTTTCACCATCTCATGAAAGTCTTTTTTTATATTTCTAAAAACACGATAACATTAAGTTATAAGAACATATTTCTGACCATCATACAACGACATGCTACCTAACTGACGACAGATGATGAAAAATTATACTTTGGGGTATAATAGATCGATATATCTGTACCCCTGAAAAACAATCATACTGTATTATGGAATCATGTTTATCAAGAGTTTGAACAGTATGTTAATGTTTCTGAAAGTGTTAGTCAGATTACTATAGAACCGTGCTTCTGATCATCTTACTAAGATGACCAGAAGCACGGTTCTTCAGTATTTCAACGATTTCAGAAATATATTTTTGTACAATGGTGAGATATATGATTTCACTACACAATGTTATAGTGTGAACGATACTGTTCAACAGTATCGTTCACACTGTAACATTGTGTAGTGAAATCATATATCTCACCATTGTACAAAAATATATTTCTGAAATCGTTGAAATACTGAATAACCGTGCTTCTGGTCATCTTACAACAGTATCGTTCACACTATAACATTGTGTAGTGAAATCATATATCTCACCATTGTACAAAAATATATTTCTGAAATCGTTGAAATACTGAAGAACCGTGCTTCTGGTCATCTTACAACAGTATCGTTCACACTATAACATTGTGTAGTGAAATCATATATCTCACCATTGTACAAATATATTTCTGAAATCGTTGAAATACTGAAGAACCGTGTTTCTGGTCATCTTACAACAGTATCGTTCACACTGTAACATTGTGTAGTGAAATCACGGTTCTATCATGCGACATCGTATTGTGTTTTAAAATCACAGAGCATTATTCCATTCAGTAAGTCACAAAACTATTGTAAAACAGTTTCGATTGTTCAGTTACTCTTAGCACTATTATTTTTTGACAAATTATATTGTCTATGTGGTTGGCTGAATTCTCGTACAAAAATCATAGACCTAATCATGATTGAAGTTTCAGCTTTTTTTTTTT